AGCACCCAGATAAAATTATGAACATGTAAGGGCTACTTTAAACAAACAGAACTTTGTTATTCCTCGCTCATTTTTCCTGATTGAGGTGTCATATGAAAGGGCAGAAACACAACTTTCTAGAAATGTGAATTTTTCTTCGAAATTCAGATACCGCCCGCCAAATGTCTTTTTGGTTTCCTTCCTTCAAATTGCTTTTAATCATGCGTGAAATATGCATCATCGGAGTAGCATCAACTGAAAGAGGAGACTCTAAGCTTTCCAAATATGTATCATTCATTCATTATGGTTGTGATTAAGTTATGATAAAACATCGATACTTCTCGGTTTCGCTTTTTCTGGGACGCACTGTATTGTGTGTTATTGTTGCCATGGTTGCAGGTCGGGGCAGGCACAATTGTATTCTAGGCAATACTAATCCTTTTCTTTTTTCAGGGGGACGAGCAAGTGAAAACATTTAATACAAAATAGGCTAGCAAGCAGTTCGCGCCAGCGAAGAGTTTCGAATTTGTTATATCACTTATATTTTCCTATTTTCATTTGTTTTAATTTTTCAGGGCCGTATGCGGAATATTTTTCTGGTGGGGGAGGGGAAAGATGCGTTAAAAGTTTTCGAAGAATCTCAAAAGCAAAAGGAGTGAAGGGAGTTCGAGCGACCGAACTGGTCAAGAGGGTACTTTTGCATTTTCAAAAGTAGAATTGAAGGATTTGGTATAGGCCTACACTACATTTTCAGGAAAAAAACTGTACGTTTTCAAAATATCTGGGGTCAACTGCCCCCCCCCCCCCTGGTGCGTACGACCATGGTCTTTTTTTTTTTTAAATTCCCCATTTTTATTCGTTTCCTTTTCTTTTCCCTTTTTCTTTCTTTTCTCTTCTTCTTCCTTTTTTCTTTCCTTTTTTTCCTTTTTCTCTTTCTTTCCTTTTTTCTTCCCTTTTCCTTTTTTCTTTTTCTTTCCTTTCCTTTCTTTTCTTTTCTTTCCCCTTTTTCTTTTCCCCCCCCTGGAGCCCGTCAGGGGGGGGGCACTCTGCCCCCTGCCCCCCATAGGTACGCCAGTGGGCAACAGTTTGAGAAAGTGGGAAGGGTCATACAATATTAAATTCCCATTGGTCAACAGGTCCACTTCCTTTCATGTTCCCCCCGAACTTGAATTCAGGGAAACCCTACCAGTCCTACAGTATAGCCCGAAACATGACTCATAACTTTGATGGATTAGGCCATTTGACCAGTCTGTATTCCTGGCCGAAACCAAAACAATAATAAAATGGTCAAGGGTGTATTCCTCTTTTGTTATGTACATAACAAAAGAGGAATACAGCCATATAATGATACTGAGAATCATGACGCCTACTACTTTGAAAACATTGAGAATGGCTGTGTAGAAAGACATATTGCCCCCAGGGGTAACATAAACTCACCCTTGACCACACGAAATTTGAAAGGAAATGGACATGAGAAAAGCACCTAACTAGGAATAACAAGCACTACGTGCAAAACGAATGCGATTTTCTGACGAAGATAAGAAGAATATTTATGGGGCAGAATGTGAACGAAAACAAGGCAATGACGAAGGTCGTCATTGCAATAACATGCAGCCTTTTCACACACAGCTAAAATTCATCGTATCTAGAGATGATTAGTATAAACGTGTTTAACTCAACAGTTTTAAACATGTTTATAGAAAATTTTCCCTGTGTGAACATCGTTTATACGATGTTGGGATAGATAATAATTTTACCCCCCCCCCCCCCCCACCCTGAAAATGATCTCCCCCTAAAAATTACACAACTTATTATCGGGGTTGACTTCCCCTTTAATGAACAGGGGGTATTGTTCTTGGTTGTCCCGGGGGGGGGGTCAATGTCCTATATAGGGGTTAAGTTTCAGAGATGGGGGTAATCGTCATCGGGGGTAATTTTCTGGGCGTAGTTTGAGTCGTCGAGGGGTAATTGTCATTTGGGTAATTATCCTTGGGAGTAGTTTTCTGGCGTGTAATTGTCCTTATTATGATAGGCGAATAAGGTGGGAGGCCGGGATTGAAGCCCCCCCCCCCCCCCCCTCCCCCCGAAGAATGTTGCAATGATGTTTGACCGTTCGTTCGAGCAACCGACAATTTCGGGTAACGATGTGGTCTATTGATTTGTAATTTAATGTAGGCCTACTAGTCATGAAGTTAAATTTTGTGACAAAATTAGATATGATTGATATTAAGAAATGCTTGAAGTTCGGTTCTCCGACAGTGATCCCAATGACAAAAAATAGGTCCGGCTTTTAAAAAGTTGCCAGGGTTGGTATAGATTTGCAAAAAGTTTGTATTCATGTTGTGTCGCCTTTTAATCCAGCGTCGTGGCTTTGTAGCGAAAAGAGTGCTTGTTTATAATACGATACAGGATGTTTCTTCGATTACACCCCTCCTTTTCCCCATTTTTCTTTTAGTCTCCCTCTTCAATTTTATATCCTTCTTTCTTAATACTTCTATTTTTTAGGCTATAATTTTTTTTCAATTTTTTTTCAATTGTTTGTGTGTTAATTTACCAACATGACCAACATGAATCATGACATTTTCGCTGCCATAAATTTCCCTCAGTTGACTGTGAATAAAATAAATATAGGGGTAGAAACTAAAATCCCAGTCTGTTGTTTCATGTGAAATAAACCTATATGAATGGCTATCGAAAGAGTAGTATAAATAATACATTAAGGGCATACGCCTGTCAGGCCTTTCAAATTGCTAAGGTGATTCTTACGTTGTTAGTTTTGCGAAAGTTTTATGGCGAATAAAAGGTGAACATTTTTCATCTCTATCCATAACATAAATATCTCTCGGCAATAAAATGAATGAATATTGAATAAATAAATAGATGAATGGATGAATTTAACATGTAGCATTATGTAGAAAATGTGGGGGGGGGTGGGGGCAGTGGCGGATCCCGGGGGGCCCGGCCCCCCCCCCCCCCTTGAGAAAAAAAATCATGTAAAATCACGTGATTTTTACCTTTTTTGGGGGTTGGGCCCCCCCCCCCCCCTGGCGCTCAAGGGGGGGGGGGTGCAAATTGAATTTTTTTTTTGAGGATCAAAAAAAAAAAAAATGTGCTCACTACCCCCCCCCCCCCCCCCCCCCCCCCCCCCCCCCATGGAAGTGAATCGACGACTTCGTTTTCAAGATCATTTCGGAAAGTTTTATCTTTCAAGTTGAACTATTATTATTGAATGCATAAAATACTGCATAATTTAGAACAACTAGAAAACAAAAAACACAACAACTTGAAGTCTTGAACAAATAATCAAACAGGAAACCACATTTGCGTCACATAGGCCTACCCTAAAATTGTAATGATGATGATTAAGACGATGTCGGCGATGATGATAATTCCTATGACGAAAATGCTATGCTTTTCCAACCAATATCCTAAAAATATACGCTAATTTATTTTTTAATCAAGATTTGAGAGATGTCGAGAATAATTTGCAGTTTAAAAAAAAAATTAAAAAAATGAAGTGCCATTACTCTCTTTCCAAAGTGTTTACTTTAATAGTGGTATTTTTTTTTTGACAAAATGTTGTTATTGTGGATTTTTTTTTCTTCCCCTCTCCCGATTAGCGATAGAACACTGAAGATTTGACTGAACACATTATTAAAACATCATAGACAAGTCGCAGGATTTTCCAAAGGCAGTAAAAAATTGTTTTTCCAGATCAGAAACTGATAAATAACAGTGCACTTGCATTAGGCCTACAGAGGCAAGGGAAGAAATAAAGAAAGAAATATCAATTATCAAAATAACATGTAGATCGAATTCTACTGGGAAGCAATTTGATTTGGCCTAACGTGTACCCGAGATGTTTCCTTTTTCTATACTTTTGATGCGCGCCCACCATCGGGCGGAATTAGGGCGGGTCTAGGCGGAATTAGGCAAGGAAAATGCCTCACGCAGACGGCGCGCTACGGACAATCGCTTATGATTTCGGGCGTAAGAATGGCATAGCTAGATTTGCTAGAATTTCGGCAACAAATTGGTATACATTAGCGCCTGTATAATTCATTTTCAGAGAAGTTATCTGAGAAAAACTGCCCATCGGGCGGAAACCGGGCAGGGTACGGTACCTCACAGCAAGTATGCAATGCTAGAGGTCAATACGCATTACTTAGCTTTGACTCTCTATACTTTGCTCGAGTGGGACTCTTGGCGGACCATATCGTGATTGCTGAGATTGTAAGTATTTTTAGGAAGCATAATTTACCTCGTTAGTGTACCAGTAAAAATCAGAATATATGAAAATCGAAATATATTATAAGTAAGCAATGCAGTGGCAAGATAAGCCCGAACTAAAGCACAATCATTGAAAATTGTTATTAACAGTCCGACGTGCTCGAATTCATGTTTGTGAAGTAGACTGCTTGAGTGAATTTCGGTGTGATGTTGTGTGATTCATTGTACAGGTCAACAAATCCACTGTTATTCGACTGATAAACAATAGATCTACTTCTGTTACAAAGTTTAGTATGTAATCAAATATGATATCTTAACTCTTTGTGATTAAGTTAGCAATAGTTGTATTAATATTGGTAACAGTTTCGCTCCTTCAGTTCAATTTAACTTTTTAAGGAACGATGTTAATTGCACCCTAGGCTAGCCTGTCAGTGTAGGTGTCATCATTTATCACTAAACTTAAAGTGCTGATTTTTAGTGAATTCTGGTGAGTTATGTCTAGCAGTGTTTAAGAGTTTTGAGAATCAACAGAGGATATCCTAATGGTTTTTTCCTACACTCAAACAGTGCAGTATTAAGAATTTAATTAAATGTTGATTATTCAACTTCTGTTCTTTATCTGTCACGGCTTGGATTCAAATACGTCTTTTTAACTGGGTAAAGCCTCATCAGTATTGACACTGTTCTCCTTGAGGGCCCTACAATCATATTTTTTGGCTTTCAGGATTTTTTTAAAAATACCTTTGATTTGTTTGTTTCCTCATCCAGCCTTGTGAAAGAACACAAGTGAGTTCCACCATGCCAGCATGCTTCACAGGGGCATCCAACAGTGGTACGTACCTCTGAAGAACAGCCCAGCTCTGTGGCTTGTTCACATTCAAAGGGGAAGATGCTTTATCGGCTACAAGCAGGTTCACACTACCTTGAGTAAACGTTTCCTAGGACACTCCAGCTACAGCAATGTACAAGGTGCTCCTAGAACAGCATACCTGATTAACAGGAGGGGACTTCACACTAGCCAGTGTGAGTGTACTTCAGATGGCTCTAGTTCGTCTCCTGGTGTGGACTCAACCTCGTCTGGAGCCGGAGACAGGCAGAGAGCCAAGGCGGAGAAACGAAGGAGGCGGAGGGAGAAGATTGATGAGATCCAGAGAGATGGGGAGGAGGCTCCTGGAAGCAGGAGGCAAGGAGCTGGCCAGAAGAGCTGGAGCAAGAAGGAGATTGTCACCTATGATATACCCACTCCTCCAGGAGAAAAGAAAGGTATTGCTCAAGCGTTATTGATCAAAGGCAATGGGTCATGATACTATTTTTAGCTATGTGGGAACCAGGTAGTTCTGTATAAGATAGTAATTAGAGGATTCATTAATCAATTGTTAAGAGTGCACATCACGGCACTTACCTCTGTTGAAGATTATAGACAACAAGAAAATTTAATTGGAAAACTACCGGTACAAATCCTTTGGAATTATTTATAATTTTTTCTTCTGATTTCTTCACCATCATATACATGTACATTAATATAGTGTTGACAAAAAAAAAAGTTGTTTTGAACACTGAGTATAAAAATGGATTTGCATTAAAACCCATGTATACTTGTCCATTTTCTACTAGTATACATGTTACACATTAGAACATTTCCATGTGTAGCAATCTCAATTTGAACCTCATTGCATTACACCAATCTTATTTTCCTTGAAATGGATGCTACATGTATTGAGCCTTGAGCAGTTCTTCAGGCTTATGTTTGTTGTTCTGTTTGTAACACATATCCAAAAAGAAGGAAGTAATATATGTTTGTGTGGATTAAATGCTTAAACATATGTGAACTAACTCATCACCACCCTTCTTGTTGTTTTGATGTAGATGTGAGCGTGGCCCTTCCTAGATCATACAGTCCCAGCTATGTGGAAGCATGTTGGTATGACTGGTGGCACAAGATGGGATTCTTCAAACCAGAATCTCTGGTAAGCTTTTATGATAATAATAATAATAATAATAATAGTTCATTCTTATATAGCGCTTTTCAGTACCTCAGGCCCTCTCAAAGCACTTTACAGATACCCCATTCATCAAATTGAGGCTTACCCGCACACAATGTATGTACATTCTCCACTTCCTGGGGAGCTTTCCAGCCAGGCGTCATTTTTACAAGCGCACACTTGCTAATCTAACCACTTTAGCTTTTGCATCCTACCGGGTACGCATTTAACACTTAGGTGGAGAGTGGCAAATGTAGATCAATGTTCCAAGAAGGAGTAGTATTGCAAGACCTTCATTGCACACCGAATAGGGGGAAGAGTTTAATTCAGAATTGATTTTTGACTGCACGCAGTCGAAGTTCCATCTAGTTCTTATGTTTATTGAGAGCTGATTTGAGGAGATAACCACCTATCAGTGACCTTGCAGGGAGGTCTAATCCCCTGGCAAAACTAGTGCGGTGGGGATTTAAAGTAGTTAGCATTCCATGTGTGCTTTTCATGCCACTACATTCTACTGGTTTTATCATAATTATATTCCTTCTAAAGTATAATTTACTGCATGCTATGTTTTGTGTAGGCAAAATGGCGGAATCCAGTGGAAGAGAAGGAGCCCTTTGTGATGTGTCTCCCTCCACCCAATGTTACCGGTGTCCTTCATCTTGGCCACACCCTAACAACTACCATCCAAGATAGCCTCATCAGATGGTCAGTTTAACAGTGCTACCACAAATGTTTCGGTGACAATTGCTCCAGGCTTCATATAGATCGTCAAAGATATAAGATTGAGATGGGGTGCAGTTGGATTTTACACATTTAGTCTAGGGTTAGGGATGGCATTAGGAATAGTGTGTGGTCCAGGTTGATGTCAGAATTCTGTTACTATACAAAATTGATAGCAGAGTAATTGTCACCAGAGAAAGTGTCTTACAACTGAGTATAACAACATTTTCAATAATGATTATTTTAAAAAACATTTTCAATACCGATAATAACCCTTTAAAAGAAATTTTCAATAATAATCCTTTAAGATCCAAGCAAGTGGCATTCCTGCCCCCCCCCCCCCCCAAAAAAAAGCCATGCTGGTTACATAGTCCATCTTTTCACATGGCTCAGATTCCAATTTGTAAGTTTTGTGTGCATTAATCAAGAGTTGTAAGCAAAATATGGTAAATCTTAGGGATTTTGGGTGACCCTATTTGTGTCAGGTATATTCGAATCTCCAATTTCATCACTGACTGACTGACTGACTTCAATAAGCACTGTTCATAAGATATTACATGTTTATAATATTTCTTCACAGCATAGACATTTTTGATATCCTTAACTTTTTGTTGTATTACCCAGGAAGAGAATGGTGGGTGTTCCCTCTCTGTGGATACCAGGTTGTGACCATGCAGGCATCGCCACACAGGTAGTGGTTGAGAAGCAGATACATCATGAGAAAGGGATCACCAGGCAAGACATGGGAAGGGAGGAGTTTATCAAGGAGGTCTGGAGGTGGAAGGAAGAGTGAGTTTTCTTTCTATCTTTATGTTTGTGTTCGTTTGATTCTGTCCATCTTTCTATTCTTACTTGCTTTTGATTCATATTTTCATTTATTCTTGCCTTTTGTTTTTGTCAAAATGATTCTCTAGGTTTTGATTCTTGTTTTCATTCTTAACTCTGATTCTTACCTTGGCTTTTGTTGTTATTTTTTTTATTCTGAACTCTTTTCTTACTGGATTTTTTTTTTATTGGTTTCTTTGATTTTTTTTTTTACTTTTCTTTGTTTATTCATGTCATCATTTAATTCTTTATTCTTCATGTTGTTTTTTCTTTAAATTCAGTCTGTAGTAATTCAATCTTTCATTGATTAATTCATTCATGCTATCAAGTCATTTGTAAACGTTGTCTTTATTTGTTAGTTATATGGTTTCTCTGATCTATATAGGAAAGGAGGTGAGATATACCAGCAGTTGAGGCAGCTAGGAGCATCATTAGACTGGGACCGAGATAACTTCACCATGGATCAAGTAGGATACTTGTTAAAACTAATATTAATAAGCCAGTTCACAGTTGCAGTATGAGCATGAGCAAATAAAGGTCATTGCAGACCAAATTGTGAAATACACAGAGACAAAACACTGGATACATGCTCATGTAAGATATGTAATCATTATTCATTTATGCACAAGCAGTGCACACCGTGATGCGCAGGTGGAAGTATACTTTGAAAAGGGGAAACAAAGGCTATTTATGTAGCACCACCACGCTGTAGGAGTGATTATTTCAAAATGTACAAAGTGGGACCTCTTCATGTTTTAAAGATCTGTGGATATTCAGGGTCATTTGGGACATGTGCTAACCCTGAACTGGTCTATTAGAGTGATCATTACCAATTCTACATGTATTTTATATCTTAGTGATCAGTGTGCATGTAACAATGTAGTCCAGAATCTGGCCGATTTAATTTTCATCTCCACCACACCACACCAACGCAATACGACCTCCCCTACTTACTTGCTGCCAGCCGAAGATGGCGTGATCCTTGAATTAGGACGCCCAAGTGGGCCATATGGCTGGTGAGCGTATAAGTTCGTTAATAACGCCATCTTCGGCGGCTTGAATCAAGTGTAGGGAATAGAAAGAACTGGTCAGATTCTGGTCTAGCAACAATGTGCCGGAGTGACTTTGTGTATAGTTCAGTGGGGATCTGTCTAGAAGTAAGATCACAAAGAACAATAATAGTATGCATTATAATGAGTGAAATGTACATGTGTAAAGAGTTACGTATATAGTAATAATAATAATACGAAAAATTTATATAGCGCTTGTGACATAAAAGTTTCAAAGGCTGTACACAAATCAAAATTACTTCAAGAAAAATCAATATTACTGATGGAATTAACATTACCAGTACTTAAATTACCAATAAAACAAAATATTACTAGCATAACTTAACAAATTAACATTACTTAAATTACCAAGCAGATCAAATATAACTAACATTACTAACAAAATTAACAAAATATGTAAACTCCTTGGAAATTAACATATTATATCATTACATGTATATCAATAATACTAGCAATAATTTAAAAGACATAATGAAGGCATTGTAAAACTTATTCAAACTTATTTTATAGTTATATATAGTTATATAGTTAAATATATGTTTAATGCTGTGGTTGCTTTCTTCGCCTCTCTGTGTGGTCGCTTACACTTGAATGATCTTGAATGGAACGCGGCACAGGAAGATTATTTGTGTGGCATATAAAGATTTGATATATTTGTGAAAAGCTTGATTAAAATATTCAAGATTTTCAGATGGAATATATTAAGAATTCATTTATGCATCTTCAGTGTTCATAATATATGTCTTCAGGGTCAATATGAATGTGATATGGAGATATATTTGAAAGTAGTATTCTGTGTTTTGTTTTTAGAAATTCTCCCATGCAGTACGGGAAGCATTTGTACGTCTCCATGACGATGGCATCATCTACCGGTCAAGTCAGCTGGTTAACTGGTCTTGTACTCTTAACTCTGCTATTTCTGATATTGAGGTAAATCAAAGGTATTCCGTAACTTTCCCTTGAATCAAGACAAAAATAGCTGATTTGCTTATGTTGCAAGCATGATTTCAAAGTTTTGGTCAAATATGAATCGTTTGTCAGTTTTATAGGCCAATTGCTCATATAGGTAACACGGTATTTACAATTGAAAGATGAAATATTGTGTGAATACCACGTATATGTTTGAGCGTTGAGAAGCCTCTCTGTATAATCAACAAGCATACATATGGAACACAATGTAATTCTGCCTTGGCTGGAAACTTGCAGCCAAGTACTAGCCAAGATTGAGAGCGACTGATCAAGTGCAGCGCTCCGCTAAAAACACTGTACCATTACCACAAAATGAATATTTGTAGTTATATATAAATTGAACATTTTAGGGGGCATTCTCATTTATGCTGCTTTTTGGAGCCAGCTAGTTAAAGGCATCGTTTAACTATGTTAAATCTGAGATGCACGGCCCTACGTGTTATCAGTGTCTGTGAAATAGTGTGATTTTTAAGCCCTAAAAAAATTGCGCTTCAAAATGATCAAGAAGTGCCTCAAAAAAGTAAAATTCTTTGAGTGAACAGTTTTATCATACAATAGACTGTAGTGTTATGAAAACCGTTTGGCAAACAGTTTTTGAAATTTGTAATTCCAATCATAAATATCTTGATAATCAGACAGGCGATCGGCTTGTAAAAGTCATGGGGTTCCTGACTGACCTAAAGGTTTATAATTATCATTGCAGCATGAGCTAAATCCAGGATTTTGTTCCAAAATCTGAGACAAAGTTACCGGATCCCTTTAACTGGTCTTGCACCCTCAGCTCGGCCATTTTGATATTGAGAAAAAATCTGGGATAGAAATGAGGATTTTTAGCAGCTTTTGGTATACTGTCCATGCCATCAATCAGTACCAAGCCTTCTTGTCAAAGTCTTTCTTTGCTGCTGATATTTATTCACTCATAATTATAGAAATGTTTTGATACAGGTTTAAATTTCCTACTAGAAACAATGCAATGATCTGGCGCTGCTCAGTGGCTACCGGGCTCACGATCAATTGGGCAAAAAGAATTTCTGTTTCGGTTTAATAAAATTTGGAGTGGACTATTAGGCTATTATTATTATTATTATTATTATTATTATTAATGCTTATACCATGATTAGTATAAGGTGACTTTCCGTTTACAGAAGAGCAAAGAATGAATTCAAGAGAAAAGAACGAACCTGTGATGTGTCTCCTTTTATTGAATAACGTAAACATTAGCCATAGAATTGAAGTTTATTCTAATAAAAATGCACTTTAAAAGACGAAAAATTTGCTGAATATTTTGTCTTTATTTTAATGCTATTTGTATTTTCTATAACCAGGTTGATCAAATGTCGCTTCCTGGCCGTTCATCACTGAAGGTCCCTGGTTACGCTGATCCTGTGGAGTTTGGGGTTCTTACCTACTTTGCTTATCCCATAGAGGGCTCCGGTAAGTTGATTTCCCTTCATGCTGTGGTTGATGTTTTATCGCCTATCATTTTATACTTGAAATGCTGATTAAAGTTAACAATAGTGATATACTGAAAAGATGATTGGTACTACAAAGTCGGAGAATAGCGTTGAAAAGAGCCATACTAAAGCTTGTCGACTTGCACTCATCAGAGTAAAATGCAAGAATGAACAGAAAGCCGAAATCGATCAATATAAACGTAAAATAAAAGGAACAAGGCGTGAATATAACGAGCGCTGATTGGCTGTCTAAGGTAACTGTAAATTCGCTAAAATAATACAAGTGTCTGAACAGACTCTTTCTGTCTGCATAGAAGCGGATCGGTCAACTGAATGTGTGATATAAAATAAATCAAACAGCAGCAAGGCATATACATTTTTCTGATATATGCATGAACCATGTTTGTTCAGGGCTCCTTCTCAAATCTGATGTGGCGCAGTAAACCGCTGCAACCAAAATACTTCTGTGATTGTTTCTAGCATACCATCCAATCTTCATCCCAAAACACAATTTTATGTGTGTAATTGATTGTAGTATTGTATTTTCTTTTTATGTCCCTTTTTTGTTTTTTGTGTGTACATTTTTAGGTTCACCTACCTATAAGTTTTTGTAAATTTTTTGATGATCCAACCACTTCGTAATTTCCTTTAATGTATTTTCCATTTTATTGGTTTATCTATGTTTGCAAGAAACTATTGTATTCTTTGGTTATGTATTTTTTTATGAAAGTGGTGAATAAATTCAATTCAATTCAAATGTCATTTTTTTAGACCCTTTTACTGCTCTCTAAAATGGCTCTAGAGGGCTAGGAATCTATTTCAGAGCTGTCAACCATTATGTTTTTCCCGGAATTATTCTGCTTGTTCTCCAAATTACGTAGTACATTTTTTCTTCATAAAATAGGTTTTTACATTTTTGGGGGTTTTGTTTTGTTTTGAAAACTAAAGTTAAAATATACTTGAAGAGAAGTTTATTCTCAAAAAGAATGAAACGCTGATAATACCAAAATAATGACCCCCAAAATACTGACTTGTAAATAAACTATACATGTAGGTCCTAATATGGTAAAAAACAGCATGAGGAATGAACATTTCTGCATTGGAAGTGTGTCCACGTGGTTGTAAGTTTTGTTTTAATAAATTCCTTTTTTTTGCTTGAAATTCCGTTTTTGCTTAAAATTCCTTTTTTTTTTGCCATCATGGTTCCTTTTTTTGGTTGTACAAGGTTGGCAGCTCTGCTATTTTCTTTGATCATGATTGTTACGATTTCAAAACTCTATTACAGATGCAGAGATAGTCGTAGCTACCACCCGCCCGGAGACGATGCTTGGTGATACTGGGATAGCGGTTCATCCCCATGACGACAGATACAGCCATCTGATTGGTCAGTCAGCTGTCCATCCTTTCACTGGACGTAGAGTACCGGTCATAGCCGATGAGGCAGTGGACATGGCCTATGGCACCGGTCAGTACTCTCATCTTACTTAAATGATATTTCCAGAGAGCTTGAAACTGAAACTCCATGATATTTAACTTTTTAATCATAGTAATACTCGCACCCAGTTTTCTTGGCAGAACTTCTTACTTGTACTTAATCAAAGTCTAGGGCAATTATCCCCTGCACAAGTACCCCCAAGACAACACCTGGTTCCCCCTAGGACAAATGCCCATTTAACGGTTGCCCTATGAACGACCTCATTTCTCTCAATCAGAATAGCAGAGAGGTAATTGTATGACAGCTTAATTTCACAGAGGGCAGATGTCTTAGGGACTAATTTTGCTGCTTATAGTTCTGTGAAATGATTTTGTATAATATCATTTCTAGTGATAGGATATTTTAAATTTCAACCAAAAAAAAAGTACTTAGAGACACAAGTAATATCCTTTAAGCTTTAAAAAACTGTGAAAATGATGAATGAATAATATAAATAGATTTTACTCCAACTTTCTGGCCTCAAAAATAAATGTTACAAATTTCAATGCTAAATCACAGCTATGACTCAGAATCTCACCATGTATAGTCTTGAATTGCAGGCGCTGTGAAGATCACTCCTGCTCATGATTACAACGACTGTGAGATGGGACGGAGGCATGACCTTGACTCTCTCAATGTCATTGACGAGGAAGGCAAAATCGTAGCTGAGGGAACTGAGTTCCAGGTATAATAAATCAAAGAATATTCCGTCATTGTACAATGCATGTAGCACATTGTTTCATAACATCTCTGTATTTTGGAAGTGCTTTTGAAATGATCATTGTTCTGATAAGGATGTTGGCATTCATTAGCCTGTTCAAAGTGAGGGAAATTTATCAAGAAAAGTATCAACTAACTACTTTTCATAAGGTCAGTTGAGTTAATAGCTAGCCAATCATCAGTGCATTCTCTCTATAAGCCCTGCACCTAGGTATATGATTTTCACATGATGCAATGTTCAGACGAGAACATGACCCTGAATTTTTATCGAGGTCTATTTGAAACAGTGCTCAAACATACTTTTCGATATACAGCTTTTCGCTATTCAGTATTCTGACTGGACAACATTAATTACTTTTCATAAAACTACGGTATATGGTTTTCAAATTGCCATTCAGTGAATGTTGGTAAAGTCAAACCTGCTTTAGTGACCACCTGTATAGAAAGACCACCTGTCGACACATACCACATATTTTGTTTCCCTTGAAATGATTCCTCATTGAAACATGTACTAAAGGAACTATACATAAAGACCAATTGCCTATGAAGACCACTTTTCTTGTCTCTTTTGGGTGGTCTTTATAGACAGGTATCACTGTAGTCTGAATGGGGAACCATTTAACTCGCCTCGATGAAGTCTGGCAAATTAAAAAAAAAGGTAGATTACTGTCATGCCAGAGGAAATAAGTGACATGGCAGGAAATCCACGGTACAGTGAATTATCCACTAGACCACAACACCTCTACCCCAAGACGAGTTGATTTGTTTTAATTAATTGTTTAATGAATATCTAACATTGAGTCCCTGTCAGGGATTTGCAAGCCCTCAAATCTTTTCTCCAAACTAACCTGTAGCAGCAAGAAAGTTTTGCAAAATTTCATATCAAAAGATTCTCTATGAGTGAAAATTGAAGCCCTCCTTTTGTACACAACAGATTGTGTGAATAAAATGCTGCCAGTTGAAAAATTCAAATTTGAAAAGAAAAATGACTGTTATTTTGCCACTTTAATTTGAGGAGTGTATTCAATTATACTTTTCACCATGCAAATCCCTGCAATGTCGTTTAAGTGTGAACATTAATGTACATGTATTTCTTGTGAATGTGTTCATACAAAGGGAATGAAGCGGTTTGTTGCCCGCCAGGCCGTCATTCAAGCACTCAAAGATAGAGGCTTGTATAGAAGAACAGAGGATAACCCTATGTCTCTCCCAATTTGTAGGTAAGATGTCATTATTAGTATTATCTTATCTTAAAAATCACATGCGTTTGATTTCACTATTTAGAAGGGTTTGCAGTATGGATTTCAGTTGTTTTTATCTTCCCTTCATAAAGGAAAAGAGCAAGTTAACGTATATACAGTACTCAATATTTTTTATACACAGATCTGAAACTTTGATCCGACTGTAAACTATTTATTGCCCTTGCAATAGAAATTCCAAAATCTGATGTTATGATTAACTAAAACAGCAGTATGCTGTGTTTTACTTCAATTCTATGAAATATATTTTGTGACTCAATATGACAATATGACAAAGAATTAAGAAGTAAGCTAAACAATGAAACAAAAGCATATTGCGATTCTAAATTTATTAACCTGTTGTATGATAAGCCATCAGACATTCATGTTTTATCAAGATTCAAGTGATATTAAATACATCTACTGGTAGGTTAAAAATTTTTTTAGATACTCATTGTCTCAAAAAAAATTGTTATTGATAGATGTATCATTGTCTGTCTGTCTCTCTCTCTCTGTCTCTCTCTCTCTCTCTCTCTCTATCTCTCTCCCTCTCTCTCTCTTTCTTTCTTTCTCCCCTCTCTCTCCCCTCTCTCTCTCTCCCCCTCTCTGTTATCTCTCACTCTCCCTCTCATTGTCTATCTCTCACTCTCCCCCTCTCTCTCTCTCTCTCTCCCTCCCCCTCTCTCTCTCTCTCTCTCACTCTCCCCCTCTCTGTCTATCTCTCACTCTCCCCATCTCTGTCTATCTCTCTTGCCTCTTATGGGCATCCTTCTCTCTCACTGTGCAGTCGGTCAGGTGACATTGTTGAGCCACTTCTCAAATCTCAGTGGTTTGTGAAGTGTTCTGAGATGGGCCAGAGAGCACTAAGATCGGTTGAGACTGGTGAACTAAAGATAGTACCTGCTGTGTACCACAAGACATGGAGGCATTGGCTTGCAAATGTCAGGTATGCTCTCTTTAATGAATCCAGCATTTTCATAATACTAGAGACTTTCATAAGGCCTTAAGTAAAAAAAAAAAGATGTTGTATTGTCCTTTGCGACCGATCCAAAAATCTTGAAAACTATGGTCGGTTTTTCTTCTTTTTTTTTACCGTTTTTTAGAGAAAAAATTATTAAAGCATTTCAAATTTCAAAACTGAAAAATATCAGCCCAAAGAGGGAGAAGGAAAAAAAAGTACTGGTAATTAAAACTTAATTAAAATTTCCTACCGACTGACCCTTGTTTTGGCACCTAAAGGGCAATACAACATCTTTTATTTAGGCCTAATACTAGAGACTTCTCATTGATTTCAGTCAAAAATGATTTGATTGATTTTTCCTTTTGATGCAGGAGTCATCAGGTTTTGCTTTTCTCCCAAAATATTTTTTTATCGGCTGTTTACTCACTTTAAACTGCCACATTATTTGGAATACCGGTACATGAAACCCATTAATTGTATGTGTAACAAAATGTTGACTTTAGCAGTCTACTGTTTGTTCCTTAGTCAACCAAGGACAATAAAAGGTTCAGACGTGCAGTTTTTCAGTTCCATCATTTTGTGTGTGAAACAAGAGCACTAACATCACATGCAGTGTACTATCAAAATAGTTGCATTATACTTTATTTGGGGGGCGAATTTTGTGCTTTCAAATTCAGTACGTGAATATTTCCAGTTTCTAAATGTTTTGTTTTTTAACACACATTTAAAGCCTGTCTGTACTAGTTTGGCTAGGAGGGATTAGACCACCCAGGGTCACTGACAGGTGGCTATTTCATCAACTCAGATTTCAATTAACATAAGAAAAAGAGGATCATGGGGGACCAACAGGCACCGCTTAGGCATTGTTTGCTATATAGAGGGCACAAGTGGCTACAAGTAGTACAGTGGGGCTTAAAAGGATTGAATATTGTAGTCATTCTGGATGTGTTTGTAATCTCCTCACCTGTACAGAGATTGGTGTATATCCCGTCAGCTTTGGTGGGGTCACCGTATTCCTGCGTACCGTGTGGAAATACAAGGGATGGATCCTGCTGACATGATGGTAAATATTAAGTATTCATTTGTAAAGCGCAATAACTATGTGGATATATTCTACTGCACTGCAAGAACTTGTAAATGCTTTGCTATACATACTACATGAACAAGTGAGTTTTCAGTCTTGATTTAAAAATTTCTAGTGATGGGGCTTCCCTTATTTCTAGTAGTAATCTATTCCATAATCTAGGGGCAGCACAAAGGGGGTATTTGCAACATAAATGTGTCTTGTGTACTATGAGGTAACGACCATGAGTTTGAGACTTGATATTCAACAATTCAGTAACATAACTAGGAGTTTGACCAGTAAGAGCTTTGTAAATAGGGCCTTGTGTGAGCAAGCTTTGGCTATTTCTTGCTTTTTTGTTCAATACAAGCCTAAAGAATTTGAACGCACACACAAGTTAATGTAGTAATAACAGGTACATTTATATTGCACACATATCCATCCAAGGGGCTGCTCCATGCACTCGGAAATTCCTGCTATTACGCAAGCTTTACCAAAGCTGCCCACATTTAGGGATTAACGTCTCATCAAGTTTCAGTTTACTACACATGGGTAGAGAGTGGCAGATGTAAATAAGTGTCCTGTCAAAGGACATCAATACTGTCTTGATAGGGTGGGATCACCATTGTGGAGGGAAAAAATTACTGGTAAAAGTTGTGTATATATTCCTCTGGGGTATGTGTGTTCTATACCTACTTCATGTCCAAGTTGCTCATTGTGACTGCAGCAGTAAAGGGTAACGGTTCAAAACACACAGACTAACATTTACTAATAGCTCTGACAATTTAGTATTTTGGTTTATAGGTTGTTGTAGTTAGTGCAGCAATTTAACTTCCAAGTTTCAATTTGTTAACACACTATTAAAGTCAGTTGGAAATATGGTGACCTTTACTGAGCTGATATCTGATAGTTAGCCATTAATACAAAAATGGATTATTTAGAATACATGCCTTCTGATTTTATTTTTTTGATAGGAAAATGATCATTGGGTGAGTGGACACACTGAGGAGGAGGCCAGGGATAAAGCAAGCAGAAAATATGGAGTAGATGGTCATCGAATCTTGCTTACTCAAGGTAAGACGACATAAATAGATTAATACATGGAAAGATACATGTACATGTAGACAGAAAGCCATTGCATTCATTTGAACTTACATTTAGTCATATACATCTCAATAGACAAATAGATAGATAGAAAGGTAGATAGAAAGGTAGATAGAAAGCTTGATAGATAGATAGATGAAGAGATTGATAGATAGATGAACAGATAGATAGGTAGATGAATAGATTGATAGATAGATAGATAGATAGATGGATAGATGAATAGATAGATGGATGAATAGATAGATAGGTAGATGAATAGATTGATAGATAGATAGATAGATAGATAGATAGATAGATAGATGAAGAGATTGATAGATAGATGAACAGATAGATAGGTAGATGAATAGATTGATAGATAGATAGATAGATAGATGGATAGATGAATAGATAGATGGATGAATAGATAGATAGGTAGATGAATAGATTGATAGATAAATAGATAGATAGATAGATAGATGAACAGATTGATAGATAGATGAACAGATAGATAGGTAGATGAATAGATTGATAGATAGATAGATAGATAGCAAGGTACATGTAGATTTACAGATATATAAGCTGAACAGATAGGTGGATGGATGGATAAATAGATCAATATATATATATATATATATATATATAGGATAGATAGATATAGATAGATAAATATATAGATAGCTAAACAGATACTACAAAAAGAGGAATAGAAATGGTTGACATACAAACAAATAAACAGATAAAGGATACATGTAGACGTGGCATTCAACCTATTGCCTACTGGAGCCTGTATTAAACCTATGGGGATTAGAGAATTCAGTAGTCAACAGGTTAATTGTTACATGTTACATGTTGAAGGAAATGGAGAAGCATCTAAGGTAGCATGCCATCATCATTTCATCTGTAGACAAAACTACATCTAAAGTTAGCTTGATATTAGAAGAATAAGATGAAACCTTCATTTATTTGTATTTCTAGATGAGGATGTCTTAGACACATGGTTCTCTTCAGCTCTCTTCCCGTTCGCTGTGCACGGCTGGCCTCACAAGGTAATTGTAATCAGTGCTATTAAAGACTGTCTGTACTAGTTTGGCCAGAAGGGATTAGACCACCCAGCGTGGTCACTGACAGGTGGTTATCTCATCAACTCAGCTCTCAATTATCATAAGAAAAAGAGGATCATGGGGGACCAACAGTCACCACTTAGGCATTGTTTTGTATATAGAGGGAGCAAGAGCAAGAGGGACTTTTAGCTGTTATTGTATAAATATGATCTATTCATGCATCAGTTACGGCTTGTGCTGGATGTTTGTTTTGGAGGGGAAAACGTTGACTCATTTTCTTGTGATGTATTTTCAAATAACCAGATCGGAGCGCCAGAAAACCACATCCCTGACAACATGGATGACTGAATTTTCTGTATAAAAATACTTGACAGGGCAAGTTGACTATGAATGACCAGCAAAAGACTCTCTAATACACTATGTAGACCACCGCAATTTCAAACATTTAGACAATCATCTTCTAGAGTCTAAAATAGGGCAAGTGGAATTTATGCTTTGGCAAGCAACTTATACTTTACTTACTCAATTGAGCAAGTGGAAAGAAACATTTATGTAGCACCCTGCCAGTATTATATCGAACTTTGCTTATGTAGCACAACAGTGTTGATCAGCGTTTTTTTTTTTATCTCTCCCTCCTCTGTCTCTCTCTCATTGTATCTCTCCCGTATATATATATCTCTCTCTCTCTCTTTCTCACTCTCTTTCTGTATTTCTCCCCCTCTCCCTCCTCCTCTCTCTCTCTCTCTCTCTTTATCCCCCACCCCTCTCTCCCGTCCTCCCTCTCTCTCTTTTTCCCTCTACCTGTCTCTCTCTGTTATGATTGTAGACACCAGACCTTCAGGAGTATTACCCCAGCTCTGTCTTAGAGACTGGCTATGATATCCTTTTCTTCTGGGTAGCAAGGATGGTGATGATGGGCCAACAGCTGACAGGAGAACTCCCATTCCACAAAGTATGCCTCTCTATTATATCCATTTGGTTGTTCTAGTAATCATACCTACCGGTATATATGTAATAAGTTTGGGTAATTATAAAAAATAGAATTCTAAAAGAATCCATTAAGATTAAAGTTCAAGACTACAAAAGTTTGATATCTGTTACAAACTGGTTACAAAATGTGTAATAGCTGACTAAAGAACTAAAAAACTGGGTAGTCCTAACTGTTTGAACACATAACTGAAGGCCCAATCATACATGAACTTGCTGGTGCCCCTAAGTGCATCTGATTTTCAGCAAGTATTTTGTGCAGTTAATTCAAAATGGATCTTTATCCAACTTGTCTCAAAATTCAACCTCTACCTATCCAATTTGATAATTTTTTTTTCTCAATAGATGTACTTAAATTATACCTTTTTTGGTCTGATTTATAATTTTTACCAAACTTCTAATATTTCAGGTGTACCTTCATTCTATGGTGAGAGATGCCCACGGTCGTAAGATGAGTAAATCCCTCGGGAATGTGATTGATCCACTAGATGTCATCCATGGTGTCTCTCTAGAGGTATATGATTGGTTGTTATTTTTTTTTACCTGACTGCTAAGAAAGCATAAATGCTTGTAAGTAAGCAACCAGACGGCTGACGGCTTTAGGTCCTCTCCGAGGGACCTGGTAATGAGGATTAATGCCTTACCAAAGGGCACTAGCGCATCGACCTGGTTTCGAACCCGGGTCACCGGATTACGAGACCACTGCTCTACCGACTGAGCTATCGCACCTACCTATTCTCTTATGAATAGTGCAGTGGGTTCTTAACATGCAAAGTTGGGGACTCTCCTCTACACGGGGCCTCGATTTAACATCCTATTCAAGGGACGGAGTATTTTCCACTGTAACATAGCATGCGTCTATGAACCAAGGAAGGGGCATGTTAACACACAACGCAGGCATTCGTCATTTGCCTTGGTTGGAATCAAATCCACAATCCCTCATCTTCATAATAATAATAATGGTGTCTCTCTAGTCTAGAGGTATATAATAATAATAATAATGGTGGCTTCTTATATAGCCCCTATGGCGGCCATTACGGCGCTCCAGCATTTCAAGGAATTAATTCCTGCCAGGTACCCATTTACATCACCTGGGTTGAGTGTGGCAAATATAGATCAATGTCTTGCCAAAGGACATTAGTGCCACGGCGGGACTCGAACCACTGACCTTGTGATCAACAGTCAGGTGACATGTTCACTCGACCACGACACCTCTACAAAGATGAGGGATGTATATAAATCCCTCATCTTCATCCCAATGATGAGATGGAATTGAGTAGGCTGGCAAGGCAAAGCTCCACCGTAGCAGTGACAGCTCATACAGCCTTTGAGGAGGCAAGTTGGGTCAGTCGGTAAAGCGTCTGCCTGTCAAACCAAAGATCGTGGATTCGATCCCAACCAAGGCAAATGACTGATGCCTGCATTGTGTGTTAACGTGCCCCTCCCTTGGTTCATAGACACAGGTTAGGTTACATTTGAAAACACTCTGTCCCTTGCACAGGACGTTTAATAGAAGCCCGTGTAGAGGAGAGTCACCACCTTTGCATGTTAAGAACCCACTGCACTATTCATATGAGAGTAGTGGGAATATATAGCGGCGTACCTCACAACTCAAATCAGTTATGCTGGGACTCATTTTGCTTTTCCCCTTCAAGGCAAAAGTGATGCCAAATACTTAATGATAATAATAAAGATGATGTCAAGTACGTTGCACTTTTGCAATTGTATTGTGAAAGAGCTGTTCACAATTATCAAGTTTTTTCAAATTGATTATATCTTATATATATATATTATATCTTGTTGACTGAACTGCTTACCCAATACATTCCTAACAGAAACCTCAGGTCATCCAGCAAGTATCTCCGTACTATCCCTCAAATAAAAAGGTTTGACTGTAGTATAATTAAAAGTCACGAGTAGTAGTAAGCACTATCAATGCCATTACCATGCTTACAATGCTTTCTGTGTATGTGTATCGTGCAGCAATTACAATCCAGCCTCCTCCATGGCAACCTGAAGCTTGACCCCAAAGAACTGAAGGTCGCGATGAAAGGACAGAGGTCAGATTTCCCACAGGGCATTCCAGAGTGTGGAACAGATGCGCTAAGGTTTGCCCTCGCTTCTTACAACTCCCAAGGTTAGTGATGCATGCGAGCGAGTCATAGTTCTCTTCATGATTATTCTGATCATAGTCAAGATAATAGACCTGATAAAAAAAAAAATCTGTTTTGCACATAAAAATCATGTTTAGAAAGTCTGAAGAGCTGCATAATTATAATATAAGTCATTAAGTCATCTTGATTTCAGTAGAAGAAAATTTGGGAAGTTACATTGAAATTACCAAGGTCCTCTTCCAGAAGGAGAAATATATTTCCTCATCAGCTGCTAACAAGAGGCACGTTCACAAATACCGATCAAATGCCTCTTAAATTTTTGTGATCTCCGAGTTGGTTTTCTTTTGGAAAAAAACTGAGAAAAAACACAAACTACCCGTAAATGGTATTAACTTGTGGGAAAATCATGTAAAAATATTAAACAGTACTGTAATTGTAGCTTTCATTTTCCTTCACCACCGAAGACATTTTTTTTTTAGTCAAGAACCATTGAGTGAATTTTAATCAAACTGGGATCAAGCATTTATCAGTATCATGTATGCAAAGATGAACTGATTAGATCTTGGGTGGAAGAGGTCAAAAGTCAAGGTCACAGGGTCATAAAAATGTTTAAAAATACCAGAAAATACCTTGTTACCGTGATAATTTGAAAAGCGTTGAAGCAATTCAAACCAAACTTAGCTCAAGTACTGTAGGTACAAGCATGAACAGATTAAATGAAAAGTTTTGTTTTGTTCATGAGGTCAAATGTTAAATGTCACAGGATCCTTTATCAGTGAACACACATATAAGACGGTGGCATACTAGAGACATAGTCACCTTCATCTTGTCATGTTTTTATTCCTGGTAGGTCAAGATATCAACTTGAATGTAGGCCAGGTCTTAGAGTACAGACATTTCTGTAACAAGATCTGGAATGCTAGCAAGTTTGCTCTATCTGCCTTTGAAAAGGATTTCAGCCCACAGCCCATCGATGAGGTATGTGCACACAATGTCATCTGAAATTATTCATTTTCATTTATTTCAATAATAATAATAATAATATTTAGCTTTTATATAGCGCTTGATACAATGTCTCTAATCGCTTTACAAATATACTATTACCCCGGTCATTGGATTCAGTGCTTGCCCGCACACTCTGTGTACACAATCTCCACTCCTTGGGGAGCATTCCAGCCAGGCGTTACTATAGGAAAAACCAAGAGAGAATTTGAAAATGTGTAACGTGATTTTGTACATTACAGAGAAAATGTATGTCTTCAAAATCTGGATGTTGTGTGAAATGGGATATGGCATTTATTTTTTTAAACAATTGTCGGGCTAGTCTGCATGTAGTTATTCTAAAGGAGCAAATTGATGTTTAAAAATAGATATTGCTTGTTCATGTGATAATATGGATATATGAGTGGTATACTGAAGTAACTTTTATCTTGAATACTTTTACACATTCAAGATTTGAACCTTTAAAAATAATAGAGTGTAATATTAAAGTTTGAATTCATTCGCAATAGGGATGTCTTCGTCAGACCGAAGTTGCAAAATAACCTGCTTTTTCAGACTTAGAATATTTTTCCAAAGCTCAAAACTGCGCCTTCACAAGACTAATACGCTCATCACTGTGGATCACAAACTAGGCCGGACGGGCGCAAATTTTTTGGAGACAAGACCAAGATTTCTTGCGATATTTTCTCGACCAAATAGCCCGCTAATTACAACTGCAGGCTGATGAAGACGCAAATTAGCTGGATAATTTGAGATTGGGCTAGCTAATATAGCAGGGTTATGCAACTTTGGTCATCACGGTCTAGATCAGACAATTTGTTTGCGGTCGATAATCTCTTATGTTTTTATTAGCTCTCAGATTTCATCCATGATCTACTTTTGCATTTTTGCTGACGTATCTCTCCCTAGGGATGCTCAAGGCACCTACAAAGTACTTTAATGATGTTATTGATGGAATCTGTTCTTTTTCAAGGTTTTACGTTCGGCTACTCCTGTAGATCTCTGGATTCTTCACAAACTGGCAACCACCATACAGGCCTGCCATAAAGGGTTTAATGATGTGGACCTTCCGATGGTGACAACTGCCCTCTATAGGTTCTGGGTGCACAACCTGTGTGATGTTTATCTGGTAAGGTTCTGAGCTCAGAGACTCCGGTATTAAATGACAAAAATTTTCAGGAACAAAAGATTGCAATTATTTTAAGTGATATTCGTCACAAAATTCTCTAGATGTTTGATTAGGCGCCAGTTTAGAGACTAATTTTATTACTGGTCATTATCAGGAAAAGTCAACGGTCCAATGCTTGAGAACGGTTATGTATTCAAAGATTCTAGAATTATCAAAATGATAACAAGTCTCCTAAATATTGTTTATAATTGCATATAATGAAAACCACTGCTCACATTTACAGGTATATCGGACTACGCATACCGTTACGTAATATCCCGATTTGGTCCAAATTGTTTAGCTGTCTGTAGGCATGTATGGAATATCAGGGTATTACGAGAGAAATCTTTCTCATGTGCAATTAATTTGATATTATCTGCAGCAAGGAAGTTAAACAAATAAAATTATTTTCTTCTATATCAGAACTTAACCCTCTAAAATCAAACAAATCCTAAATTTAGAATTTGCATAATTTTTTGATATTACACTTATAGTTTTATTTATGCATGATTATTTCATACCTCGTAAATACAGGAGTGCATCAAAGAGCCTTTAAGCAAGACTCAGACAGAGGAATGTATGACGTCAGCCAATGTTCTTCACACAGTGATAGATGGCGCCCTTCGTCTCATGCATCCCATCATGCCCTTTCTGACTGAAGAGTTGTTTCAGAGGTTGCCAAGGCAACAGAATGACGAGTGTCCTAGTATCTGTGTAGCTCCATACCCTACCTTGCAAGAGGTAAGATGGTTGTCAACTGTAGCCGCACATGGGGAAAACTCCAAAGAGTCGAAGTGGAAAAAAAATTGTGAATAATAAAACACAGAATTGGTGGGGTTTTTTTTTCAATTGTAAAACAATTCTTTTGAGGTGTCTGAATTGATTTTGTGATGGAATGCCTCTTTGAAAGTAGCCTCTTGTCGATGCCCTCGCGCTGTTGGAGTCTCTAAATTCTGACGAGCGAAGCGAGTCAGAGAAACCGAGGCGCTTGCGCTGAGGGCCTCTTGACAAGTGATCTGAATTATATATTCATGAGACCCGATTTCCTACTGAATTATGCATATCTAGACCGCAGCGATTGTGTGTGTGTACGTGTGTGTTCGGGATTGCCCAACTAGGCTAGTCTGCAAGCACAGACCCTAATTTGACACTTTATCAAAAAAATCATTGTGCCTTGAGAGAAGCCTAGCCCAGCTATCTACTGGTACCTACTGGTTGTACCAATATAGGTCAGGAGCAGCTATAGTACGTGTCATATGGTAGTCTTATAGTGCACACTCTCTTTTACGACTGACCAGGGTCTGTGCTTGCAGACTACAACTAGGCGGCCAGTCTCGCTCTCACGGAGGGAATTCGCACAGAGCGGTAGATATTACGTCATAGTAGCTCTCTCTGATTGGATGACTTTCACCGAACTCTGCTGGGTCGGAATATTCGCCAAACAAAGTAAAACATAAGAAATTCAGATCACTTGTCAAGAGGCCCTCAGCGCAAGCGCCTCGGTTTCTCTGACTCGCTTCGCTCGTCAGAACTTAGAGACTCCAACAGCGCGAGGGCATCGACAAGAGGCTACTTTGAAAGGGGAGGGGGCAGTTTTTCTGTAACTTTTACAGTTTATTATATGAGGATATGATACATGAAAATGTGAAATCTTGTGTTAAGATAAGCACACTGTCAGTTAATGCAAGAGTTACACGCATACTTGATTTACCAATTACCGACAGTCCTTTTTCAGGACTATCCAATCTGCCCCCCCCCCCCCTCACATGGTGCAACTGTAAGCCTACTGTATATACTTGATTTTGTCCTTCATTCTTAGGAAATATGTAAAAGAAGGGAATTTTACGCTTCATATTTCTTTCATCAATTGGAAATTCATCATGAAATATGAACCTTGATATTTCTCATTTGTTCATTCATTAATATACTAAATAGATCACACTACTTTCTACCAATATTTCTTTCTCCATAGCACCCGTTCATAGATGAGGCAGTGGAGGAACAAGTCGAGGTCATGCTGGAAGTAGTTCATGCAGTCAGGTCACTGGAGGGAATGCTGGGATTGAAGAGAGGACAGTCTAAAGGTAAGACAATAAATGACCTCGATGAAGGTCATGACCTTGGATCTGTATTAGGATTACATTCCTTCATTATACTTATTTTTCTCAAAGCTATTTAAAAGTTTATGCAAGATTAAGTTTTATCACAACAGATGAACATATAATTTTTAACTATGTGCAGTATAATTGCTGTGATATTTTTGTTGTGTACGTTGGAAAGTGGCCCGATGTAATTGCTTTAGCATCCATTGAATTTGATAATGTGGACATGATGAGTGTATTACTTTATTGTGGCAAAACACACTTGTGGGAATTTCATTTTGAATATAACAGGTTATCATAATTGGAATACTATATCTATCTATTGCTATAGGACAATTTTTGTCATTTATTTTCAATCTGAAGGATATTTGATTACAAGCTGTAGATATGGGCAAGTAGCAATTCTTTTGTTATCAAGATAATTTCCATGTATTTCATATTTTATAACTGAGGAACTTCATTATTTTGGTGTTTTCTACAGTGGGTATCACATGTCAAGATGAGGGAGTGTTGTCGAATCTTAGAAGACTGCATCACCCACTTGCCACACTTACCAGATCACCTCATGTAGACATCTCCTCCGGTGAGGCCCCTCCCCCTGGAAGTGCAGTCCTGGCTGTGGGAAGCAAATGTACAGCTTATCTGCATCTTCAGGTTAGTAAATTGAAAAGAAAGATTTAAAAAAAAAAAAAAAAATTGATTTTTATTTAAATATATTATGATATTGTATCTTATACTATACAAAACTACTTCATGATTTGTGAAGTTAGATATCATTGAAATTTGGGAACACCAAGGAAAAAACACAATTATTGAAAACTTTTCTCAACTAAATTTAACTGTATCTGTGATACATGTTTGTAAACTTAATGGCTGATCTTGACTTCTCAAAATCAATTACTGTGTGTGTGTGTATTAATCAATCAAATCAATCAAATCAATCCAATAGAAATCTATATTAGAAACATCATGTATGTTACATGCCATATTTAGAATATTAAGGCATTTGAAGAGCCATGCTTTTCAGGGAAAATTTGTATCTGATGTTCTTCCACACTTGCATAATACAATGATAACGCTCACAAATTATTTTTCACCTCTCACCAGAACTCAACCATCTCTTTAATTGTGAAGCGCATTTGGACATGTATATATGGAAAATGCACCATATAAATACTTTATTATTTTTATCATTGTTGTTGTTGTTGGTTGTTGGTATCTATATAGGAAGCATCAAACAAAGCTGCTGCTGAACGTTTGCTCGCCCGGCAGGTGAAGGCAGAGCATCAGCTGAGCAAGCTCAAGACAGCCATGGCCATTCCAAACTACGAGCTCAAAGTACCAGAAAGGATCCAACTCAGCAATAGAATGAAGGTAGGTTGGTGCTGGTTGAGTTGATACAAACAAGTAACTTTTATTTCAAGCGTATATTGACTCATTTTTTATAGTGCAAAATAGTAGTGCACAAAAATAGGGTAATGATAATAAATGAATAAAAAAGAAAATAGGAGCTCCATACTTTCACAAGTTTGATTATATGCAGAAGTCAGTAGAGCAGAGTTTGATAAAAGTCTTCTCTTTTTTGTTACCTCATCAAAATATCTTGATATTTAGATGATCTTTACGCTTAACAAATTATTCATACCGTTACCAAGTTTTGTAATTTTTTAACGTGCAAAAAATGTCTTTCTCCCAATTTATGTTTCTCGAAAATGTGACATATTAAAGCTTGATCATCTAAAAAATATTCAACAAAGGCCCTTATTTGACCAGTCCACCTTTCATTCTTGATTTATGAAGAAGAAAAAAAAAATCACATTTTAAGGAGAATAAATAATTCAGTTGTTATCTGTAGATAGCAAATTCACAGAAATATCATTTTTGCTGAATACTAGAAAATTCAATTCCTAGGGAGAACTGTTAACCATTCTCACAAGCTTTGCTTATCTTGGGGTCCTTCCGATGGTGCTATTCATTTTTTATGCATTGTTTACTTTGAATTTGAATGGAAAATAAATGAATATAATTAAATTTAACCTGACCTGATCAGAAGGAATCTAGATTGGAAAATGAAACAGTATTCCTAAAGGCTCTAACTACACTCACTCATCTATGTTCTATTCTATTTCCTTTATTTTTGACAGTTTGAAGAGCTAGAGGCTGAAGTGAGGTCGTACAAGGAGCTTTTAGCTTCCCTTCAGACGATGTCAAGGTGACCTTCAGACAATGTCTAGGTGACGATGGAAAGCAACCGATGTATACTGAGGAATAAACGACTCAAGAATCTTGTGCAGACTTGTATTTTCCATAGAATAAATTTGTCAAAGACAAAGAGAGATGCATGGTTTAAGCCTGCAATCAGCACCTCAGATCTACTTAGTGAGTTTTGTCGCTCCATGGTTTTTTCTAAAATTAAAACCTTTCAGAGAAGAGGAAGAGGTGATACCTTTGAGCCTGAGATCGATGGATTAATATCCTCCTGCAGATCTGCTGAGTGAGCTTGTTCACTTTGTAGTCCATCAGATGCGACAATGGCTAACAACAGGAACTTCATTGATATGCCATGAGAGATATGTGCTTTGAGCTTTCATTCAGCACCCCAAGAACTCATAAAGATAAACGTCTTGCACTGGACCATGCAGATTTCCATCAGAAAATGGAGAAGGGGGTTCATCTATGCATCCCAAAAGGTGTCCTTTGAGTCTGAGTACCGTCCTGCTAAGACGCAAATCACCTATCAATCTGTAGAGTTGTCCATCTGAAATTGAAATGCTTATAATTGATTTGTAATGTTTTGTTGGAAACATGAATAAATTTGAAATTTGAAATTTGAATTTGAAATGAGTCTCGAAACCCATCACATGCTAAAGAATTCAATCATTGAAATATGATTCAAAGGAATACATTTATCTTACACTTATTCTTGAATATAATAAAGGTATCATGATGATTACATGTAACAAGAGAGTTGATATTTGTCATTTGTTGTCTTGAGGGAAGATATATGGGAAAAGAAAGAGAAGAGAGTGTAGATTTGAATGTGACAGTCGATTTGGAAGAATAAAACAAATCATTTAAAGAGAGACTGAGAGAAGTAGGAAGGATTGAAAAGAGAGGAGCTACTTATAGGCGAGAATGGATCTGCAAAGCAAGCGAAGTAAAACCGTGTATCATGTCTCGCTAAATGACTTTATTGCTGTCATCACCAGAGACTCGAATCTTGTACACTGGGCTTCATACTTTGGCGACTTATTCCTCAGACCACAAGAATCATGTAATGAAAAATATGTGGTTACGTTTGTTACATTTGAAATGATCCTCGAGGGGGGAGGGGGGTAGTAGGGCCACAGTGCCCCCCTCAAAAGTGTCCTTTTTACATAGAAAAGGTCCCTTTTCATTTTGACGAGTGCCTTTGTTAATTTGTAAAATTGCCCCTTCCCCTTTTCACCTCTGATAAGTGCCCCTTTTATTTTGACACGTGCCCCCTTTCCTTTGACATGTTCCCATTTTAGAGATCAAAAGGGGTAATTATGAAAAGGGGAATTAGCACTAAAAAGAAGGAAAAAGAGAATTTGTTAGAAAGGAGAAGGGGCACATGGGAAATAAAAGGGGCAGTTATTAGAGGTGAAAAGGGACGCTCATCATGTGCCCCGTTTATTTTAACATGCGCCTCTTTTTCTCTTTAATAAGAGCAACTCCCCTCCCCTTTCTCATAAAAAGCCCCCTTTGCACCTCCGATAAATGCCCTTATCAAAATCTGATCGGTGCCTGTTTTTTTCAACTCTAGCACATTTTCCTTCATTATAAGTGCCCCTTTTTCATTCTCATAACTGCCCCTTTTCATTTCTGGTCAGTACCCCTCTTCACATCTGAGAATTTCACTTTTAACACTGATACGTGCCTCTTTTCCTTTTTAATAAGGGACCTATCCCTTTTCAATAAATGCCCCCTTTCAGCTCTTATTAATGCCCCTATTAAAATCTGATGGGTGCCCCTTTTCCATCGACAAATGCACATTTCCCATTCTCATAAGTGCTTTTTTTTCATCCCTGGTTAGTAACTTTTTTTGTAGGTGTAGGAAGTGCTTCATTTTCACCTCTAATAAAAACCCTTTGTACTTCAACACGTGCACCTTTTTTTCTAATAAGTGTCTTATCCATTTCAATAAATGTCTCCTTTTACCCTCATCATTAAACGCGCCCCTAATTTCAAGCGACTAAGAGCAATTTTCCCAAACCTGGCACGCTGCGCTCGCTCGCACTTATAGATTATATGATTATGTTACTTATCAAAGGTGTTTTCAATCTCCCGTCATGAGAATGTGCCTATAATGATCCCATCAGGATTAACTTCTATCCTCTTTATAATATTTGTTTGCAATGCGACCTTACAAATCTTAAATTGTTTCCCGGCTCACTTCGCTCGGTCGCAAATGAATTTTCAGCCCATCATACCAAATACAAAGTATTAAGCAATATCCTGTATTGTGTATAAAGAGAAACAAATATTGGAAATCATCCCATCATGTAGGGGTATATACTAATGTCTTTTAAAAAAAAGGGTACATTTTCGCTTTAAGATTTTCCTTTGTAGGTGCCCTTTTTCCACAATGTGCCCTTTTTGTTGATGCCCCCTCCCCTCTTCCCACTTTGGAAGTCGCTCCACCGGCCTGGGCAATTATTTAATGACGCATTAGCGTCAATTGCGCACACAGGGGGAGTCTGAGGAGGTAGGGCCCCCTCGGAAGCTCAAATTTGTTTGATTATTGAAACTGGATTTGTGCGATAGGGATAAAACTTTTAGGCAACATTTAGATAAACTCCCAAATAGATAAATACCATTGACAATTCTCTTCAAGCACTCTGTTTAATATTTTAATCATCTGTATATTAGGCCCTGTATTTCAGCTCAAATGTTTTAGTGATTGTGGACGGGCGAAGCATGCGCTGAATAGAACATTCTGGCTTCATACACACAACCACACCAGTAACACCACAAAACGGAAACACCATAACAATGACTACTGAAACATAGTTTTCAAAACAATTATGTTTACTTCAAAGATAATTATGCAGATAAATACGCGAGGAATATGGACAGCGGCAGCCTAGGTCAAGCAATCATTTATAAAACTGAGGCTTTGCCAAGGCAATCATTGTAAGTATCCGTCTGTAGGGCAAATAAGATGGAGTCAAGTTATAACCTGTCAGTCATTATCGAATATATATGGTTTTGTTTGTGTATAGACTCATATATAGGTGGGATTAATGCAATATAAAAGCCTTCACCGTGAGCATTTAATCTTAAACAGATACATAACATTGGGGGATTACATAGGCTACCCCCCCCCCCCCTTCCCACCCCGGGATCTCCGCATGTACACTAATTCTTATAACATATACACTGTACTAAAAATCTGTGATGGCCGGTTAACATTATGTGACCAAAAATCTTGAACTAGCCCAAATACCGTTTTAACCTCCGTTCAGCTAGTTCATGGATAATGATGTTTCAAAAACTAAACTTGTAACAATCTGCATTCAACTGTATCTTTGTATATTCCCAAATCTGCGTTCTGTGCCCGATGTACGTCATGAGTTCCTCTTTGTTTGACGGGTAGTTCACAATGCTCTTTCCATACCCAGGAATCGTATGACTCTCATCTGTAGAGGTTCCCCCTCTGCTTCTCTCTAGGTGGAAAGAGACGGCGTAGACTTGTCCGCATGTGGTGTAAAAGTTGTCCAAAGTCAGAGGTAGAAAGCACGTCTTTCCGATCAGGTCTTTGGTGTTGGTATAGATAACGCAGAACCTGCTCGCGAGGTAGTAATACAAATCCATGGAAGATTGACCTGTCGTTGCTCTTGATCCGCGCAGGCGTCGTACGCTTTTGATTTGCTCTTCCAGGATTTTCAGTCTGAAGAAGTTCGCCTCGTTTCGAAGAAGTTCAATGCTGTGCGAGGCATCGTCGAGTAGAATCCAACCGAGTCTCAAGTATTCCAATACGTTGCAGAATTTGTCACCATCCCTGTCGATTGCGTAAGTCCCATTTACTTCTCGTTGCGTCATCGTCTCTCCATTGAGCATAGCGGTGAAGAACGAATCGGGCTCCCTGTGCAAGGTGTCGCGTGTCGTCTGGAAGAATTTTCCACCGACGCTCAATTTAATCAGTTCCAAAGGCAAATGTGAACTATCTTCATCTCCGATCAGTTCCTGTACCTCTTTTTTCATCGAATCTAGCTGAAAGAAATCCGCCTCTTCTTGCAGCAGCTTCAGTTCGTTGTATCCCTCGGGTAGCACTAGCTTCTGCAATCGCAAGAAATTGAGGACATGTCGAAAGAGTTCACCGTCGCGATCGATCCTATATCGTCCTTCGTCATCTCTAGCAGACGGTATGCGATCACTTAGTAGCAAAGCGAAGAAACTATCGGGATCGCGTGTGAGAGTTGTCCGAGAAGTCTGGTAGACTTTCCCGCCAACATTCAAGCCAACGTATGATTCCATATCTATTATCGAAACAACTATGATCCCTTAACTCAACATGGTTGCTGTGTTCATAATCTGGCACACGGCATATGCCATCAATAATCAAGAGAATGAACTATCGTTCCCGCTATCGTTATCGCGAGAACGAGCTGTACGAGGTCCGAAACGTCTGGTCGGCTTTTCCCGCGACGATAATTCAGACCAACGTATGACTCCAAACTATCGAAGCAGCTAAGGTGATGGCTTAAATTAACAAACTTAATGTGATCATGAGCTGACAAACGACAAATATGCGACCACTATCGCGAGTAAGAGTTGCCGAAAATCGTCAAGCAGACATTCCTCGCCAACATTCAAATCAAAATGATTCGTCCGCGCCTATTCTATAAACAGGGGCGTTTTACCGGCCTTTACGTTGGTTACGTGTTCAAAGTCGTCTCGCAGCTAGTGTGCCAATGTCCAATCTGCCACGAGGCATGAAGAACAACAATCTGATGTCCGATCTTGTTTAATATTTATCATGTATACATCTCGGATTTTTTGTTGACACTCGACAAACCCCTACAAACGCTGAAGGCAAATATATTCTTTACGACCTTTGGATTGTTTGGGCTCAATGCGTTAATAAAAAGTGAATGATTGTCGTAAACCCATAAATTTAATATTCTCTATTTTTACGAATAAACAGTTTTTTAAAGCATATTTCTTCGTTTATTTGCCAAGCTCTTGTAGGTCACAAAAAACACAAATTTTCGTAATTTTTCGTAATTTGATATTTTTTTAATTATGCGGACATAATATTTGAGGGTCCAGATTTAACATTGATACTGAAATACTGTCATTGTTTTGTAACTAGAAATGAGAAACATAAATGTATGCAGCAACAGGCCTCTTACCTCTTACATCATGTCCTATAGAACCTCTGGATATACATGGTACGGTATGGACATTTTATAATGACTGTTCTAGGACAATTAATTACCCCCTGGACAATTATCCCCCGGACAACTATCCCCTGGACAATAATACTCCTCGAAAGAAAATCTGATTTTTATTAAAACCAACTTATTATCACGGTGGACTTCCCCTTTAATGAACAGGGGTAGGGGTAATTGTCCTCATAGTGGTTGTCCTTGTCTGTCTTGGGGTGGGGGGGGGGGGGAGTTATTGACAATATTTTTAGAAAACATATCATGTCACCACCTAGGTAGCGGGGGGGGGGAGGGTGGGGGCTGACCCTTGGGAGGAGAGTCAATCAGACTCTCGGTTTACAATACACCTCTCTATGTATTTTGTACATTATAATAATTCATGTTTTCTTTGTTTATTTTTAGTTGTTGATTTGATTTGATTATTTTGCATATTTTTATGTTTTGTTATCTTTTGTTACAGGATTTTGTTTTGTGATATAATTTGTATATTTTTTATTCAGTCACGGACTTTTTGAAAATCAACCGATAGGCTGAGAGAGTGACCGTGTATAAATAAATCCTACCACTTAGGGCTATTTCATGAATATTTTCCGTTAAAATCTAAATGCAAAAAAGAAGGCTTTATGTTTGTTTAGTGACCAGACACCCAAACCCCCATCATACCAAGATACAATGTACATTACAAATCCATACAGTTGTACCTACATGTATGAAAGTGCACATTGAACCGTCGCTGTTTTCACGAAGTGACGGTAGTGAAAAAAAATTGCATTCACTTTGCGTTACGATTTTCCTCACTACCGTCACTTCGTGAAAACAAAGTCGGTCAGCGGGGGACTTGGGTATGCAATTTTGCATACAACGGAGTTCACATCGGTTTTGCCTGCCATGCCTGTGTTCTAAATTAAGGCATGCAGGAAAGCTGACTTGTGATAGCATAATGTTGTAAAGTTCACCGGGAAATACCACAGAACTGTAACGTATTTCCCACAGAGCTGTATTTTACAATTCTGTGGGAAATACCCAGTAAGTTCAAAGTGCCACAAAATAGCCTCGGTTCAATGCGCTTCAATAACTAAACCGATAGAATTTAGCAATTTCGAAGGTTTGAAATTACCAAGCATTCATTGTAAAACTTAAAATGTGATTTTGATGTTCCTGGTAATTTTTTGATTGTTTCATGAGTTGTACGGATTGTATGGAAGAGAAAGATGGGGACAATTAATAAACGTAAGAAATCGTAGAAGGCTAGACAAATCTTCTATTTCCTTTAATTCACGTACACAGGATATACCAATTCCACACAAGCTACTAATACATAAGTGAGAAAAGGATGAATACATTGATGCCATAACGGCTAGGAATATTAATACTACAACGAAAATGGAGATTGTAAATGATTCGGGCGTCGGCTTGAATGTCGGTGGTAAGATCTACCAGACCTCTCGGAACACCTTGACAAAATATCCGAACAGTTTCTTTTTTCTCCTGCTCGAAGGTACCATTCCTTCTAAAAGAGATGACCAAGGGAACTACCTGATCGACCAGGATGGCGAGGTCTTCCGCCACGTCCTCAACTTCTTAAGGTCAGGTGAGCTTTTGACCCTACCGGAAGGATTCAAGGACTTCAAACTACTTGAGAGTCAAGCGGACTTCTTCTTGCTCGATGAACTTAAGAAGGTGATCCAAAACAGGATGTCCGATGGACTGCTATTTGACGACGGAGGCGTCGGTTTGAATGTCGGTGGTAAGATCTACCAGACCTCTCGGAACACCTTGACAAAATATCCGAACAGTTTCTTTTCTCTCCTACTCGAAGGCGCCATTCCTTCTAAAAGAGATGACCAAGGGAACTACCTGATCGACCGGGATGGCGAGATCTTCCGCCACGTCCTCAACTTCTTAAGGTCAGGTGAGCTTTTGACCCTACCAGAAGGATTCAAGGAGTATGAACTACTTGAGAGTGAGGCGGACTTCTTCTTGCTCGATGAACTCAAGAAGGTGATCCAAAACAGGATGTCCGTTGGACTGCTATTTGACGACGGCAAGGTTTTCAATACCACGAAAGAAACCTTGATGAAGGAGAGTGGCGCTTTCTTCCCCAGGATGCTGGCTGGAGAGATAGAAGTCACCAGAGATCCTCAAGGAAACTACGTCATGAATAGAGACGGCAGTCTGTTCCATCACATATTGGCCTATCTCAGAGACGGTGGCGTTCTCACTGACATCACGCTTGATGATTTAAATCGTCTTCTGAACGAAGCAGACTACTTCGGACTCGACGTGTTTAAAGAACATATCGAAAGCATCAGGTTCATGCAAACCCGACGAAACGCTCTACGCTACCTGCACTTCTATCACTGTGTAAACAGTCCTTGTTTTGTCTACAAGAATTTTCAGGATCACAGTCATGTTTGTCCCTACGTCAGTGAAATCATGAAAGGTGTGTTTGCTGGAATGGCAGTCTTGGAAAGAATCAATAGAGGTGAAAATGTAAGCGTTGAAGATATCATTTCTTACTTTTGCAAACAGTTGGATAGAAGTCGTACCAATACCCCCAATACCACACGAGTTGAACTCAGTCCTGATTGCACTCGATTGGATTTTGAGCCATTTTGAAGTTTGTTTTCACATCGGATGTCTGTCAGAAAGATATACATCCGATCCCTCTACAGTGACTTGGTATGATGACGATGAAGAGCTGGTCAGCCCTCACCAATAACGATAACTGTAAGAATAAATCGTTCCCAAATGGTTCCGCTCCCTCTATAAAATTGTTATCGTGGGTAAGATCTATGGCAAAGGAACCTCCCTCAACGTTTTATTCATCAACTGGTTTTATCGTCCACCGATTTTCATTTTAGGACAGACCTCGACCTCTGAGAGACAATAATTTCACTCCTTTGATGTGACGTCAATTTATTGTGCGCCGAGTGATTCGTGCTAGAATCCTAAAGATTTTATCATTAAGGTGTGTCACATTTATCAACTTTCTTGTTACCGTTATCGGCGAGGTCTGACGAGGGTTAACTGATCGTGGGAGCTATATTGAATGAATTATATAATCATAGAGGAAATGGAGTAGAACAAACCGGTTTGTAGTTATAGTGTGGTACGGTATATCCCGTACAGCTCCCGAAGAACTTTTGTGCCATTTTTTTTTTTTTTTTTTTTTTTTATTTTATTATTATTTTATTTAATTTTTTGCATTTTTGCATTCATTGGGGTCCAAGCTATCAGAAATTGATGGGGTTCAAATTTTCCCGAAGACACCAAATTTCCCTATTGCGCTTTATATAAGCCGTTTTGGCGCCCAATATGGACCCCCCAGAAAGTGAAGGAGGGGTCTGAAAATTTGAACCCCATCATTTTTGGCCAATTGGGACCCTTTTGAAGCCAAAACAGCAACAACAAAAATCAATTTTAGCAAAAAAATCCTACGGGATTAAGTACCCTACCGCACTGTTAGCTTTGATGACCCCAAAATATCCACAAATCTTTTACATTTGCATAGGCGTCCCTCTTTGTGCTTTTTAGAATAATCATTGACATAGTGATGGAGCCTGGAGGTGCCTCGTGATTGACACCTTTTGTTTGCCTCTTGAGAAGAATAATTCCACCTGCGTATCAGAGAATATCCCATCGGTGAATACATGAATAATGATTACATGACTTTCATGAGCACGTATCGTATTCGTCTTGGTGGGTTTTACAATTTTGGTACATATGACCTTTATTTGCCCATGTGCAGATTGTATCTATGAAGTGGCTTATTCTGTCAACATTTATTGAAATACATGTAACTGTCAGGTAATGAAAATCTGTAAAGATATGATTTTGTTCAAGTGCAAATTCGATGTAGTGTCTAATTATATTTGATTAACTTATCATGGTGAAATTTCCTTTAGTGTCTCAAAAGTACACTTTAAAATTCAAAATCTTAAATCACCATTCAAAAGGGCCGAGGAGTGAACATTTTTTCAAAAGGTCAGATTAACCCCTTTAAAATACTAGATTCAAATTTTGTAGTGTTGGATCAACATGTTCAATTTCAAAGAATTTATCTGACATTTTGAAAATGTGGTCACTCTTCAGCCCTTTTCAATGGGTATTTTAGTTTTAAGAGTGTAGCAAAATGGTCCGTTCACGTGTAACTTATCACTCTGTGCATGTACAGCATTATGTTAAAGGGCGATTTGGTGTTAGAGGTTGACTTTTTTTCATATTCAAGTTTGCTTTTTAGTGATGACCAATTGAATAGCATTTCAGTTAAATGTCTAAACCTGTTGAAGTCAAGTGAGTGTTTGTACTACGGTGTCTTCGAAGACTTTTTAAAAAGGAAATAATTGATTTTTTTTTTTCCACACATTTGTCTATTAATATAAAACATATTTTGTTCCACATTGAATTACTAAGCAGAATGCCGTAAAATTGTGTAAATACTATGTATCAATGGTTTAGGTCATCATTTAGGACACCACCCATTTTGAAAAATAATATATCATTTGCATACGGACTTCAGGGCAAATATTGGCCAAGCCAGAAAGACATTTTGAGGCTGCCTGGCTTCCATTTAAAATCATATATATGCATTTCAGACTGATGGATAGAGTCTTGCTTTTGACATTAAAATATACATTATCACCGTCGTGCATATCATTCCAAGTTCATTCATTTTTGTTAATTAGAATCTATTAAACAATAATGTTCACGTTCGGAAACAATGATTTGTTTTCAAAAGAAAAAATGGCCTTACTCATCCAGCTTACTCAAGAAGTTTATGTCGATTATTGCAAAGCCCTGTGTTGAAAGTGAGGGAAATGGATTTGATGTGCATGGCAGAGAGAGTATAGAGCGAGAGGAGGGGGGGGGGGGGAATGTACAATGTTATTAATGAAGAATCATGAACATGATAAGAGAGAGATAGAGAGAGAGAGAGAGAGAAAGAGAGAAGGGTGAGAGAGAGAGAGTGTGTGTGTGTGTGTGCGTGTGTGCGTGAAAAATTGGGGGAAAGTGAAGGACGTGTGTGAGGTAGAGAAAGAGAACAAAATAATTTATATTGAAAGAAAAATGTGAAAGAGATCGTCTTATTCGCGGGATTCATCTTTACTCAAAATTCTCTGAAAACCAACCAATAAAGCCCAAGAATTATTATGAAGGAATACTCATTATAGAGGGACAAAATAGAGAACTAGATTGAAAGACGAGGAGAGAGCGAGAGAGATATTAAGGGGGAGCAGGGGGAACCAACCACGAGCAAATGAAGGGAGACTGTAATAATAGAGAAGGGGTAAGAATTTGTTAACATATTACATTTTATAGATCGCGGAGCTTCTCCTTTAGAGACATTGAGAGAGGCAAAGCGGTGGCGGATCCAGTGGGCACAGGGGCACATGCCCACCTCCCCCGGAAAAAAAAAACTTATGCATTTTTCATACCTTGCCTATCCTACACATGATACAAACGAATACACATGCCCTTTCCCTCATTCTTCCTCTTCTTCGTCTTCTTATTTTTCTCCTCTCTTCTTCTTCTTCCTCTTCTTTGCTTGCCAGAACGTTGAATACAGCGGATACCCCCCCCCCCCCTCCCCGCCTGGGTTGGAAAAGGAATCCCTGGATGATTAAAAGAAGAACCGCGTCAATAGAGAAGACGAGCTTCTGAAACTAATGACTTTGGTGCCCCACAGGCATGATACATTCTTTGGGCCGCGGGTAGGCGCCGCATCTTACAATATCTATCAACAATTTACAACCCAGGGATTAGTCGACAAATACGGTGTAAGGGGATGTGCCGCTCTAATGGGTCGCGTTTTTGCAACCCTCCCCCCCCCCCCCCTTAACTTAGGGTGTGATTTTGTGTTGGAAAATCGCTAAGGATGACCCCCAAATTTTATATCTTGCCCTCAAGCACGGGTTGCATTAGTTTATTCTTAGAACAATTTCTCAACCACATTCTCACTTAAGTGCAAATCCCATGTTGAAAACATTTCGCTTTTTCATCCAAAATTCTAACAATGAGTTCCATTTTTTTACCAAAATGACCCTGAAATATGGGTTTCATGCAGCTTGGAGGCATCAGCGCACAACGAGCCCATTAATTTCAAAAATATACAAACACCCAAACAGGCGAGTTAAATTTCACCCAATTCCACTGACAGAGCGGCATTAATTAACCTTATGACAAGCATCCCGCGTTAACACAAATCATGAAATAAACAGAAGTAGATGATATGGTAATACGGAAAGCAGAATTACATACATGATATAGGGAACAACTGCGAGTTGCATTTAATGAATTGCACAAGAGGCCTCTATCAAATTAGCCTTGATTCAACACCATCATCATTCCGTAAAATAATCAAGGAATACAAAATAATAAATTTGTTGCTTCCTCAAAATCCGTCACATATTAATATGGAAAGTAATAGAGTGGGTTTTGATGATATAATTCATTATTCCAGTTTATCTTTATTTATGTGCGAATAATGAGACAATGCGTTTGTGGCGGTGGGCGCAGAAAAATAAACACCTTTCACTCTCGAAAAAGGCTAATCGTCAATACGAGTCTGAGTCACTGACAGGTCGGGTGCTTCATCAGAAATGCACGCATGTATTAACATTCTACTGCGTGTCAGTCATCAACGCTGGGAAGATGTAGAATGGATGCCAACCCACAACTGTAAATACAACAACAATGATGGATTCTGCCAAGGCTTCTGATGACTATATTGGTTTAAACGTTGGTGGGAAGATTTACCAAACATCTTGTGCCACCCTGATGCGGTATTCGAACAATTTCTTTGGTTCTATGTTAGAAGGAAGTGCCCCGCCTCCCAAGGATGATCAGGGAAACTTCTTGATCGATCGAGATGGTGAAATGTTTCGCCATGTTCTCAACTTCTTGAGGTACGGGAGGATGGTGCTTCCGGAAGAGTTTAGTGATTTCCATCTGCTCGAACGCGAGGCAGATTTCTTCTTGCTTGGGGAACTCAAGATGGCGTTGAAAGACATGAAAAGAGCCAATGGGGACGTTGGTTTGAATGTTGGTGGTAAGATCTACAGGACATCGAGGGTCACTTTAACGAGTGTTCCGAACAGTTTATTCCAGGACATGCTACATCGTTACCCGCATTCTAAAGATGACCAAGGGAACTACCTCATCGACCAAGATGGTGAGATATTTCGCCATGTTCTCAATTTCCTAAGGTATGGAGAACTCGTGCTACCGGAAGGATTCAACGAGTTCGATTTGCTTGAACGGGAGGCGGAATTCTTTAAGTTAGAGGAGCTTCAGAAGATGGTGATGGGGAAACGGGTGAGAATGGTTGGTTACGTGATCAACGGTCAGGTATTCAAGCTGCGTCGGGAAGATGTTCTGAGAGAGAAAGATTCGCTCTTCGCCACCATGTTGGGTGGTGAGTTCCAAGTCCCCACGGACCCTCAAGGGAACTACATCATAGAGAGGTCCGTTGATGCGGTACACTACTTAATTCACTACATCAAACATGGCGGAATCTTCAAGGACATGACATATGACGAAGTAAAGCGTCTAAAGAGTGAGGCCGAAATGTTCAGGCTGTGTGCATTGAAGACGTTACATCTGAAAAGCATTGAGACCGTCCAAGCTCAAGGAAAAAGAGAAGCCGATAGCATATTCCTTCATATAATATTTGATCATCGTCAGAGCGCCCGCTGTGTCCATGAACCTTGCGTTGTCTACACCAACAAGTCGCCATCTTTCTTCGGTACTAACGCCGATGGTCATCTCATTCGCGATTTCTTTCGCGACGGCAAGGTTACTCAATGTGCAATAGGGAGTAGCAGTATGACTGTTGGACAAGTAGATGTGCAGAAAATAAAACAAGGAGATGGGCGAATTGAACTGCAGGATTTTGTTTCCTATTTTTCCACCAGAATGCCCGGCAGTGTTGATACACTTGGTAGTTGTGGTTATTTCACGTTACTAAAAGTTACCATTCTTCTCAATTCTACCTAGAAGTTGCGATCACTCAGTTAACGTCCTTAGGACCAGCATCCTACTAAAATCATCCTAATTTCCTTCAGAAGCATCTCTCTCTCTCTCTCCCTTAATTTTATTGAATAATTAGTCTAAAGTACGTTTGTATTGTTATGGCAACGCCATCACAACTAAGCTCATGCTTTCATAAATTTCGCAATCTCCCTTCACGTTTGTAAATGTGATATCATTCTGTATTCATTAAATTATAGGAAGGTAATAAATGTCTTTTGAATCTGAAATCTGAATCTGAATTTACAAACAGAATCCTTCTTCAGATTGTGTTTTACCCAGTGGCACATTCAGCATGGTGTGAACTGGCTATTCACCTAAAGAGTCCTTCCGTTTAAAGATGATAATAATAATTGAGGAAAAATAAATGAATTGAATTGAATGGAATCGAATGGAATGGAATGGAATGGAATTGAATTGAACTAATGATAATGATAATGATGATAATAATAGTAAGAATAATACTAATTCACCGCTCCTCTTCCTGAGGACGCTGCAATTATTATTACCCCAGCCAGGTACCAATTTAAACCTGGATGGAGAATGGCAAATGTGGATTAATGTCTCGTCAAAGGACGGGAGTGCCGGGATGGGATTGGAACCCTCAACTCTTGGATTGAGAGTCAAGTGATTAAACACGACATCTCCACGCAACAACAAAAGCTGGTTCATCCGTTCACTCCTTCCATTCCGTTAGGATTCCACCCCTTCCCGTTAAACTATTATATTTTTAATTATGATAAAACCTTTTTCGCAATATTGTTAATGTTGACCTTGCTATATATTGTACGTCGCTTTTGTAAACAGCACTCCCCCCTCTCTCTCTCTCTCTAACAAAATGTATGTATAGGCTTCCTATGTATGGTGCATGTGTACATCTCTCTCTGTCTCTCTCTCTCTCTCTCTCTCCCTCTCTCTAAAAAGACATACATGTACATGTATATACATATATTATGTATATAGATATTTATACACATATGTATAATGCATGTGCGTGCATGTCTGTCTCTCTCTTTGCCTCTCTCTTTCTCTTTCTCTCTCCCTATCCCCCTGTACCCCCCCCCCCTCTCTCTCTCTCTCTCTCTCAAGAGAGAAATGTATGGTGTATGTGTGTATCTCTCTCTCTCTCTCTCTCTCAAGAGAGAAATGTATGGTGTATGTGTGTATCTCTCTCTCTCTCTCAAGAGAGAAATGTATGGTATATGTGTGTATCGCTCTCTCTCTCTCTCTCTCTCTCTCTCTCTCTCTCTCTTTCGTCTCACTCCCTCTCGCCCTTCACCATTTTATCACAGCTACTGTACTTGTATGGTGTAGATGAGGGGATTAATAATACAGATATATACATGAAGAGTATTTATTACATGCTGAGTGTGTTATGTACAGAACAGTGTACTGTGGCATGTATGTAAGCAGCCTATTGTATTATGATATATTGTGAAAAGTTAAAAATTTAGAGATACTTTGTTTAGACTGAAGATCATGTTTGCATAGAATAATTGGCTAAAATTAAAAATGTTATTTCTCTGATATGTAAAATTCATTCTATGATATATGATACAAAAACAAAAGAGAAAGTTCTTATTATTCTGAGTGATAGTATATATTTGTAAAGCGCTTAGAGACATTTGTATTAAGCGCTATATAAAAATTAAATATTATTATTATTATTATTATTATGATGTAAATGTATGTACACATTGTTCATGTATAATTATGTAGTCAATTTATACGAACCTCGATTGTTGAAATTATGACTCTCAAGTTGAGTTCTGGTCATACGATTGCATTGTGGAATCGATCAGAAAAAGATGATCCTGTAGCATATATAAGAATTGGTGTGTACTGCAAGGATCTCGAATCATCATCGAAATGATAAGAAATTCGGCCCGGTCTTGGTAAAAGTAACAAGCACCGTATTGGCTACACAAACATGTGGCATAAAATTGCGTTCATGTTTAAGCTGTTACTTAATCTTTAGAATATGATGCATTTGAAGAGCCATGCTTTTCAAGGAACATTTTTATCTGGAGTTATTCCACACTTGCATAAAAACACTAAAAACGCTCACAAATGATTTTTCACCTCTCTCCATAACTCAACTTTCTTTTTAAAGATACTATTTCCCTGTTGCAGCCAACCTCAAATGCTGTAGAACTTTGCAGGAATTATGAATATGTCATGTATGTCCTATCTGTGAAATTTAAACGTTAGCAGTGTCATAATATTCAAATTATGCAAGGAAACCCGTTTACCTACTAGACTTCACTGTCAGACACTATTGAGTGACTAACTGGCTTTTGTTCTTCTTTGGTAATAACATACATAAAATGAGCTGTAAAGGGTACATGAGCATTTTTCTACATCAATAACCCACTTCTTGTAATGGCCAAAATTAAACTGAATCCTTGCGCAGCATAAAACGTACGACCATTCGGCACAATGGTCTGAAAATTAGACTATTACTTACTGGCTCTATAGCTCTTCAGTCGATATGACAAATGATAGTCGTTATTTTCCCACTTAAAGACATGTTCAAGCCTCCTTTTTATAGGGAAGTTCTAAATTAGTATTATCTTTCAAATGCCGTTGGAATTTAACCTTTTCAAAAAAATTGGCCTGCAAATGGGACATAGTACCTTTAAGGAAGACATACAATTTCATTGCAGATATACTTTACACATTTTTCTTTTTACTGGAAAAATGTTTAAACTTTCATAACTCTCAAAATCTCAAACCATTCAAAATGCAGTGCAGGATGATGAAAAAATTAGAAATGTGATAAAAGTGACAATCGTGTAGCGGATCATTACCTGCAATGCCTATGGTGAATTCCACTTCCACATAGTCTTTACACCCAAGGATTTTATGTACACACTCAATGACCAGTTGCCTATTTCTTGAGAAGGCCATTAATGTAAAGGGCAACCCAACCTTTATTGTAATGATAATAATAACTCCGCTTTTATATAGCGCTTAATACATCAATGACGTCTCTAATGATAATAATAATAATAATAATAATAATGGTAATAATGCATGAAGAACTATATTTTGAACAGAACATTGTACTGTGGCATGTATGTAAGCATCTTATTATGTTATGATTTATTGTGATAAAAGGTTAATAACTTCATGTTTGTTTAATCTGAAAAATAAGAGTTTAAGAATGATGACAAATTGGTATTGGTGAGACAAATAATAAAGATGTGGATGTATAAATAATAATGATCATTTATTCTCTGCGGGTCTCAAATTGGCAATTTGGTCTGTGATTGTAATGTATTCATCATCAGCTGTGTCATACTAAAATATCATTAAGTTCTATTCTTTTCCTTACCTAAATTGTTCTTTTACGCACAAATTCAAAATAATGAATAGATAGCATGTTAGGTCCTTCAAATTGAAAAGATATCCTGAATAATGAAAATAAACGCTAAATTTATTCGACACTGCACCACAGTTATATTGATATGAATTTGATATGAAGTTCACACAAGATTACAACTTTAAAAAATGCACACATGTATTAGTTCTTATAAATTGTCCAATATCATACAAACTTTCATCTATCTGCTTCTTCCGATTTTTCTGCATTCTTTTAGAGCAATTTGCTATGAAGCTTGGATTTTTCCTCATTAATTATTTCATTCATCTGTTGTGGGTAGGACAAGTCATAATATTTGTCCTACCTAGCAAGAATGAATGCATGCAACTCGCATTCTGACTTTTGAAATGCAATTATTCATAACAGGTGAATGGAATAATTTCTGACGAGGCTCTGTCTTAACAATGGTGTGCGCATTGAATTTGAGTACGTTACAAAAATGGTCTATAGCCGCCCCAATTCAGGGTAAAGTTAAGTTATTACTTTTATTGAGTTTTTAGAATTGAGGTTGCAATTAAGCTCTTATACGTTTAGGCTCAATTTTGAAGGCAGAATGAGCGATTTGAAACGCTCATCGTAAACGCTCATCGTAATCGCAGTTCCACGGTTTACTGTTTATGATCACTTCTCTGGCTCCTCAAGGCATGATTCTGGCTCTGCAGCTGGATTCGCAAACCTGCACTGCGCATGCTACGTTTACCCCATTTAAGCAGGGCTCCCACTTAGTCGAGTTGGAACCTCGAGTTGTGGCGAGCTGGCGCGATCTTATGGCAAGCAGTTTTATTATTAAAATATATTTCTTGATATAAAGAATTCAATTCTTGATATCACGAAATCAAATTCCTGAAATCACGAAATCGAATTCTTGATACCAAGAATTACCATTGCTTTATAACATAGAATTATTTCTTGATAACAAGAATTGATTTATTGATATCATTTAATAAAAAACGGCTTGCCATAAGATCGTGCCAGCTCGCCACAATTCGAGGTTCCAACTCGGCTAAGTGGGAGCCCTGTTTAAAACGCGCTTACAAATTATTGTGCGTTTATGCTTCCCCAGAATCGCCGATCCAAAACGCGTCTTTTTGTGAGTTTACGATCGGCGATTACGATCGCCTTTTTTCGGTGATTCTACAAAAATGAGAAAGGACGCAACCGCGTTTAGAACTAAACGCATAACAAATGCCTCATTCTGGCCAGAAAAAGTTGAGCATAAACGTAGATAGTTTGCAGGCACAATCCCTTGTTATTTGTAATGTGTATAGTAGCTGTGTCGATCTGATCTGTGAGACTATGTAGACTGCACGCAGTATGCACTTTATAGGCCCTGTAGGCTAGGCCCAAGGCTTTAAATGTAATTGTGTTAAGTGTCATATAGACTATGTGCCTGCAGACTAGGTTCAGAGCCATGGCGGATACTGATCTCAGGGGCGGCGATTTTTTTTTTTATGACCGGAGGGGAGGGGGGACGAAATGCGAGGGACGAGGGAGCAGTGGCGTAATGACCAAAAACGTTTGTGGGGGGGGGCACACACAAAAAATCCGCATCACCATCATTCTTACATGTTACATGAAGGCCCCGCGGAACGTTTTTCAAAGTGGGGGGGGGGGGGATTTTTTTACGATCAGGTAGAGCAAAGCAAGTGGAGCGTAAATTGGCATTGGGTCCAGGTTGCAAAGCCCCGGCGAGGGTCAAGGGCCAGAGCCCCATGAAGCTCAGGGGTTTTAGGCATTTAATTAAGGTCAGATGAATTTTGTGTCACTGTCATGTAGGGCACTAATTGGAGTGGGGTCCAAGGGGCGGACCCTCAGAAGCTCAGTGGTTTTAAGCATTAAATTACGATCAGATGAGCATCCAGGGGCCACCTTAGGGCCCTTGGTCGGGTCCAAGGGGCAGATCCCCCATGAAGCTCAGCGGTTTTATGCATTTCATAACGGTCAGATGAGCATCCAAGGGGCCGCCTTAGGGGGCCTGATGGGGTCCAGGG